GTTCCGGTATATACCCTGTTGTACTGTGGTAATGACGGCCTATGCTGTTGAGACGGGCCCACACAAATCTATGCAGGGGGAAAGGCACTCAAAGTCCGTGGATCCCTTATACCTGTGCCTAGGCAAAGGAGCTGTGCCTACAGTGGGTTCCTGGCTTAGGGGAGCCGGTAGTTTATTTTTCCTCTGTTTGTTAATTTGTTCACTCTCCAAGGCAGGGAGAATGGGTCAGGGCATGTGATGGATCCTACTTCCAGCCCAGGGGACTCAGCAATTGCTGAAGCCAGTCCGGGACCCAGTGCACAGCAGGGAGCAGGGAGGTAAATGGGAGAGAGGTTTTTCCCTAAGGAGGGTGTTTTAGATACGCGTGGTAAGCCGTATACAATTACTTATCTTTTGCCAGATCAAGGGCTGCCTCTCACTGGTTCTGGGTGTCATGTAGACTCTCAGCAGCTGAGTCTCTCCTGGCGTGGAAAATGCACCTCCTGAGCACAGCTGCCTTGTCTGCCTCAGTCCTCACCCCCGAAGTGATCAGGCCTGGAGGGCTCAGGCTCTTGCCCTGTCAGGTCTGGCAACTCCTCGCTGCTTCCAAACCGTCTCTCCCTCCCCCTGCCACTCAGTCTGGTTTGTTAGCTCTGACTTTGATGTTCAGTGCTCCCAGACCGCCATATATAATTGAATCACTTGTTTTTTTCAGGTCTTTGTTGTAAGAGGGTCCACCAGAAGCATTTGACTACTCTGCCATCTTAGAGTGTACTTATATTAAGAATAAAGTGGAGGCAATTTACCCAAGTGAAAATTTCAAATTTTAACTTGAAATAAGCGATAGCCATGGCAAAAGAAAATGAGGTTGGAGTTGTGGGTGAATTATCTACCTCATGATAGTAACTTTCTGTTTTCCATTACATATGTAGAAAAAGCTACTGCTAAAAGAGAAAGAAAAATGAGCTGAGTTTATCTGAATTATGAAACTTAAAAAGATATATCATATGCAGTTATAAAAATTACCTGGAAAATATACCACCATTAGCAATTATATTTTTAAATAAAAGAACAACATTGAAACTACTTTCTAATTTTAAACAGTAAAGGATGTATAAGAACTTTCAACAGATAAAAAGTACAGATGGAATTTTTCACTTTTCTTCCAAAGAAGTTCGTTGAATTTCAAATATTTTCTTTGAATAATCATATTTGACATATATAAAGGCTAATGTCAGCAAAGTAATTAAAAGTAATGATGGCAATGCCCACTGGGCTATGTGTGCAGGTGTTTCTCTCCACTGTTTCCAGCCTAACTGATGTCTGATATATAAAATTCTGAGCTTACATGCAATACATTAAAGCGATTATTCTCATCCTTCCTAGAGCCCACAGAACTTCTTTACATAAAGAGTTCTTACGGGATTTTTGAAATACAATTTGATTTTTAAATGTAATAGATACAAATTTTTTAAATCATACTCATTGCATAAATTGAACAAAGACTACAATTAGAGGCGTAGCTTCCAAGCCTCCATAATATAGTTGTGAAGTCAAAAGTTAGCCCAAAGCATCTTTGAATTACTATTACCACACCAGGAGAGACTCAGCTGCTGAGAGTCTACATGACACCCAGAACCAGTGAGAGGCGGCCCTCAATCCGGCAAAAGATAAGTAATTGAGTTACTATTATCTATACTAAGCCAAGCCAGTCACTACCCAGGGCTGCACTCAAAACTTATTATTTGGGTACTGATTAACATAGAAAAATATGTATATATTAACAATAAATAAATAACATTTGGTATTCAGCATAGGGAAGAATTAGAGTAGCAAACTATAGGGATAATAGAACGGTACAGGCCAGCACAAATACAATCAGGAGACAGACTGACATCGAGGGAGGAGACAGAAAAATAAATAAAATATGGCATATGCCATGTATTAATGGATACTTGTAATGATGATATTGAGCCATCCCAGCTAAATTAATTTATATTTAATAGGTACTAATGTGACAGAGGAGCCCTGGTGGTGCAGTGGTTGAGAGCTACGGCTCCTAACCAAAAGGGCAGCAGTTCAAATCCACCAGCCACTCCTTGAAAACCCTATGGGGCAGTTCTGCCCTGTTCTACAGGGTTGCTATGAGTTGGAATTGACTTGATGTCATCTAACAACAATAACAACCACAACAATGTGACAGATGGAGACCTGGTGGCACAGTGGCTAAGCATTCGGCTGCTAACCAAAAGGCCAGCAGTTCAAATCCACCATCCACTCCTTGGAAACCCTGTGGGGTAGTTCTACTCTGTCCTATAGGGTTCAATGAGTTAGAATTGACTTGACGGCAATGGGTTTAATACGGCAGATTATATTCTCCAAAGACGGCCACAATAATAACTTCTGACTCACATGCGCTTCTCTAATGTGACCTTGCTTATCCTCATCCTGGGGTGGAGCCTAACTTCTTTCCCCTTGAATCTGCATCGATGAATAGAATACAGTGTTAGTGACCATGTGACTTCTCAAGCTGGATCATAAAAGGTGGTACAGCTTCTGCCTTGCTCACTGAATATCTATGCTAGAGCCTTGAGTCACCATGCAAGAAATTTAACTCCCCAGAGACTGCCATGCTGGAGAGGTCACATATCAGTAAGTGTTGGAGTCAGCAGCTCCAGCTGAGCTCCCAGCTCAATCAGCTGAAAGCCATCTTGGTTGTCCAGCCCAGTAGAAGCATCAGATTACCGCACCCAAGCAGTCGTATGAGAGACCTCTAGCGTGAACTGTCCAGCTAAGAACAGTCAGCCAACAGGACCATGAGACAATAATAAATTGTTGCTTTAATCCACTAAGTTGCTAGATGATTTGTTATGCAGCACTGGTAAATACAGCAGCTAGTTAAAAAGTTTAAACAATTCAAAATATACTTCTGAGTGTTTGTTTTGAGCCAGGAAATGTGGTAGGGGTAGGTGCTTTATATAAATTATATTATTTAATCTTCACAACAACTTTACCGGGTAGGTATTATCTTCACTTAATAAAAGGAAATTTAAAATTATTTTTTAAAAGTACTCCTTAAGACAATTTTTTTTTTCATGGCAGCTGCTTCTTGTATTATGAATGCAGTGTCTTGTGGATGCTATCAAAGGATAATAATCCTATTTTATTTTTAAAATATACTACAATTATCTTCTAAATACTGACTTACCTCTATTTAATTAAATTTTTTTTTCTTTTTCTCTAGTATCTCTCTGTTATGCAGTTCCCCCTTGGTCCAACATTTGGTGATTTTTGGTTGGTTATCTGTATTTATAAATGAGGATCTACAGTAGAGGCTCTAAGTTAGTGTAGCATCATACCCAGGGTGGATTTTTGGAAATCTGTAAGACACTAGCTATTGTCACAGTGATTTGGGGGTGCTTGTGACATTTAGCGGAATGGTACCATGGATGCTAAACACCCTATCATTATAGGATGTGTGAGATGGTCTGGTGCAATAAAGAATTGTCCTGTATCCTACATGATTTTCCAATGTCCTACAAAACATTCATGTTGGTTAAAAACAAAACCAAAACCTTGTTTTTAATTATTTAATTATTTGAGGCTGGAACCTAACTCCATTTTACAGATAAACCTAAAATATTTTTGCAGTTTAATATACATTGAATATCCTAGGTTTGTAAGTACTGTGTAAATTAATGGAAGATTGTATTTTCCTTTGTTCAAAACTTTGCCAAGAGCTGTATATCATTTCTAACAATCATGTGACTGATGGCAATATGCCTGTTCTATTTAAACTGACAATATGATGCACCTGTATCAGTTTACATTCATAGGTGTCACATGCATGGTGATTCTAAGTAAAAGTGCAAGACTCTGACTACTACACAACGTCTCCTAGCGTAGTTGTGCCCACTTACCTGTTGACATACGTATTATCTCATTACAAATCACTTTGCTTTTATTTCTCATTTACAGTATAGTTAGGGTATCTTATTGATTTTCATAAATAACAGGTATAACCCATTGCCGTCAAGTCGATTCTGACTCATAGCGACTCTACAGGACAGAGTTGAACTGCCCCATAGTGTTTCCAAGGAGCGGCTGGTGGATTCAAACTGCCGACCTTTTGGTTAGCAGCTGAGCTCTTAACGATAGTTAGGTAAATTATCTATAATTTTCATTGTGGGATAATAAACGGTACGTTAGAAAATGGTTATAAAAAGGGAGTTGAAATCCACGAAGAGGCAAAAGTGCCCGAGAGATAGGAGGAAGGAAGGATGGAAATGTCCAATCATATAAACTTCCCTTAATGATCTCCTTGCCTATCTGGAGAAGTTACTTAGAGCATTACTTTGCTTCTCTTTCTAGCCCAGTGATGACTCTGGTTGTGTCCAGGGACAGATCACTTAGTTCCTTTAGCTTAGGAGTCAGTGCCTGACCCAGCAGCTCTGAGACTAGGGAAGTGGTTCAGCTACTCTACAGCCCTTTAATTAATTACCCTGTGGACTGCCCTAGGGTCTATTCCCAGTTTTCTTGTCTGTCATCCTGGAGTTTTTTCTGAGGCTCTACTTGAAAAACTCACTGCTTCAGCAGTCTTGCCTTTCATCTATCTATTGTTATGGGGTCTTTTGATCAACTGGGCTGAATCTTTGATCTTATTCCATCTGCTGCATATTGTTCAAAAATGCCTCAATGTTGATTTCATCCTTCTAGGTTTCCAGTCCTGCTGTGGATTTATTTTTATATTTTTCTACAATTTCAAAGAGACTTTGGATGGAAGGAGAGGTAAAGATAAGTTCTCAGTCAGCTATCCTCAGCTGGAAGCCACTGTAAGCATTTTAAAGAAAACAAATACTCTCCCCGTACAATCGGTACACTGACATTTCTGTCGATTAGCAATCAATTTAAGGCAACCGATATACTTAATAAAATTAAATTGTCAGACTTGCAATGTTCTTTTTGTTTTGTTAACTAAACTGTAAAAAAAAAAAAAAAGGTAAAAAATGCAGAAAACTTACAATCCATATCAAGTATGGCACGAACAGATTTAACAAGTTCCTTAGATTCAAGCATCAGGGTTGCAGGAATATTGCGTCCGTTCCTCCCCAGCTGTGTGGGGGAAGTCTGAGAAGTTAACAGAGCTCTTCTTTCACTAAGAGGGAAATAAAATTGAATACATTACACAATAAATAATATCTACCTTTGCTAAATCTGAATTCTTATTAGTTAGAAATTTGTACAAAAATATATCTATTTCTGGGAACACTGTATTCTTATAGCCATGTTGTTGTTGTGTGCTGGAGAGTCGATTCCAACTCATAGCAACCCTATATGACAGACTAACACTGCCATACAAGGTTTTCTAGGTATAATCTTTACTGGAGCAGATCGCCAGGTCTCTTCTGTGGAGCGGCTGGTGGGTTCAAACCACCGGCCTTTCAGTAAGCAGCAGAGTTTAACCATGGCAGCAGCATCAGGGCTCCTCTTTTAGCCATAAATGAAGTAATTCACACAAAACGTTGTATCTGTCTCCAATTCTACATTATAGAATAAGTAGGAATATTTTAAAAATTCAGGTTGATTTCCTATATATTGAGCAAGGATGGCTCACCTCCCAAATAAATTAATGGGCTTGTTTTGTGAGTGCTCACATTAAACTAACATAATGTTTCCTTTCGTGCCGGTTTTATAAAAATCCAAATTAACCACTTCAACATAAATTTACTGAATATTTACCATTACTTTTAGTAATATTGAATATAAATGCAATATACATATTTACTTTTTAAAAATTATTGTTGTAGCTTAAATGAAGTTTACATTTCAAGTTAGTCTCCCATACAAAAATTTATACATACATTGTTCTTTGACCCTAATTGCTCTCCCTATACTGTGAAAGCACACTCCTCCTCTCCACCCCTGATTCCCCATGTCCATTCAACCAGCTCCTAACCCTCTACCTTCCCATCTCACCTCCAGACAGAAACTGCCCATTTAGTCTCTTGTATCTACTTGAGCTAAGAGGCACAGTCCTCACGAGTATCACTGTATGTCCCACAGTCCAGTCCAATCCCTGTCTGAAGAGTTGGCGTTGGAAATTGTTTTAGTTCTGGGCTGATACAGAATCCAGGGGTCGTGCTCTCCAGGGTTCCTCCAGTCTCAGTCAGACCATTAAGTCTGGTCTTCTTACTAGAATTTGAGTTCTGCACCCCACCTTTCTCCTGCTCCATCAGAGACTCTGTTGTGTTCCCTGTCAGGGCGGTCATTGATGGCAGCTGGGCACCACCTAGTTCTTCTGGTCTCAGGCTGATGAAGTCTCTGGTTTATGTGGCCCTTTCTGTCTGTTGGGCTAATACTTTCCTTGTTTGTTTGGTGTTCTTTATTCTCCTTTACTCCAGGTGGTTGGGACCAGCTGATCCATCTTAGATAGTCACTTGCAAGCTTTTAAGACCACAGATGCCACTGACCAAAGTAGTATGCAGAACATTTTCTTAATAAGCTTTGTTATGCCAAATGACCTAGATCTCCCCTGAAAGCATAGTCCCCAGACCCCTACCCCTGCTAGTCTGTCCCTCAAAGTGTATGACTGTATTCAGGAAACCTCTTAGTATTGGTTAAGTCCAGTTGTGCTGACTTCCCCTGCAGTGTGTGCTGTCCTTCCCTTCACCTAACATAATTCTTATCTATTATCTAGTTAGTGAATAACCCTCACCCTCCCACCCCACCCTCGAAACCATCAAAGAATGTTTTCTTCTGTGTTTAAACCTTTTCTTGAGATCTTACAATAGTGGTCTTATACAATATTTGTCCTTCTGTCACTGACTAAATTCACTCAGCATAATGACTTCCAGCTTCCTCCATATTATACGCTGTTTCACGGCTTCATCTTTGTTCTTTATCATTGCATAGTATTCCATTGTGTGGATATACCATAATTTGTTTATCCACTTGACTGCTGATGGGCACCTAGACTGTTTCCATCTTATTGCTATTGTGAATAGTTCTGCAGTGAACATGGGTGTGACTATATCTATTTGTGTGACGGCTCTTGTTTCTCTAGGATATATTCCAAGGAG